TTTACTGTTTTTGCGCGGCCCCCTGATGTTGAAGCTGAAACTCCAGTACTTTGGCCACCTGATGCGAAGAGCCGACTCATTTGAAAATACCCTGATGCTGGGAAGGATTGAGGGCAGGAGGAGAAAGGGAAGACAGAGGATGAGATGGTTAGATGGCATCACCGACTCAATGGACATGGGTTTGGTACCAGTTGGTGATTGGGTAGACATGGGTTTGGTAGCAGTTGGCGATGGACAAGGAGGCCTGGTGTGCTGCGGTTCATGGGGTCGCAAAGAGTCGACACGACCGAGCGACTGAACTGAACTGAGCTCCCCATCCCAGCCTCCATCTCCCTTTTGAGGCTAGGGATTGGGTTTCCCCACCATTCCAATGCTGAGATTATGTTCTTTCTTTCCTCCTCGAGCAGAAGCTTGATCCTTTGGGACAACAGACGTGCTCGGCCCACCCTGCTCGATTCTCCCCAGACGACAAATACTCTCGACACCGAATCACCATTAAGAAACGCTTCAAGGTGCTCATGACCCAGCAGCCGCGCCCCGTCCTCTGAGGATGTCTTAACATTTCTTGTGTCTTCTGCTGCCTGCCAGCCCCCAAGAGACTATCTGCAGCCAGGCTCTTCAGTCTGTGAGCCTGGAAGCTTGCTCCGACTCTTGCTCCTCGAGTCCGGTCTCATCTTTGCTTTTGATCATGCTTGTTGTGAGGCAGTCATGGTAGCATCCCCGTCCCAGGGGAGATATTTGAATCTTTTCGTACAGTGAATCACTGCCAGTTTATTAAAAATGATTTCAAAGAGCTGTTATTTTTTATATTGTGGGTAAAATGGAGTGGTTTAAAAACAAAAACAAGGGAGACGAGAGGGAAGAGTACCCCAGGGGTACAACAAGACCACTTGGAAGAGAAACTTAGGTGACTGCCGTAGCAGTCGTGCTGTGCTGTGAGTCATAGCAGGGTGCTGGGGAAGGGGAAGAAAGCTTGAGAAAGACTTGTGCAACTGTCAGCAATCACTAAGAAATACCTGTGTTGTCAGTTAGGTAATTTTTTGTCCCTTGAAATGACATTTCACTCAAAATGGAAGAGCTGCTTGAAAAATAATAGCAGCCGTATGGGAGGAGGAAGATGTTTAATTGGAAGCCAGAAAACGAGTATTCACCCCTCTATTTATAACTTTGAGAAAGTCAACCTGTTTAGTTCCGTTTTTCTCCTCATTTCTAAGTACTCTTCCACCTTTAAAATTGATAGAGTTCAGTGATAGATCTTAATTCATCCAACAATTGTGAATAGGAATGCCTTTGCATTTTTATTGCCTCTCTGGAAATATCTTGGAGGATTTTTTTTTTAATACTGGAAGATTTCTTAGGCCTTGAGCTTCTGTCATGGGGCAACCATAAATTTGTAATCCAATTGCTTCATACCATAGGGATGATGAGGCAAAATATATACAGGCATTCAAGATATGATTGCTTCTTCCTCTCCTTATCAAGTCAATTAGGTACTTCCTGAACAACTTATTTGTGGCCTTTGACATTGAATCGACTGTTTGCCTAGTGCCACTGTAACATACATAAGCCCAAATTTGATTTATCAAGACTGGCCCTGGAAAGGGGTAAATATGTTTCTCACTATGCTGATGTCTGACTGTCCTAGCAGAAAAATTCAGAATAGTTGACTGTTAAGAGAAAACAAAAAAACCTGAAGACTTGGGTCATACATAGTTAATAACAGACATGATTTCCAGTTCTATTATTTATGAGAATGGTGAAATGGTATACTTACTTTCTGTCAAGCAGTTTTTGGTTTCTTAGCCTCTTCACTTAAGGCTCTTAGCATTAAAGAGATCGTAAAAAGTTGTCTTATTACAGGTTAATGTTTGAAGAAATGCTAGAAATTCTGCAAAGGACTAGGGAAAAAGTTCTGCTAAGGAAGTGTTTAAAGAACTAACTTCAGGGGAATTCTTGGCGGTCAAGTGGTTAGGACTGCCAGCTTCTGCTGCCCCTGGGGTGGGAGATCCTGCAAGCTGCTGCATGGTGTGGCTAAAAAAACAAACAAATCTTATCTTTTTAAAAAAAAAAATGCAGACTGTGATTCTGTCTTTATAAGCTACCCCCACCCCCCAAAAAAGGATTAGCATTTTCCATGCTACCTACTGTGTAGACTAAGGAAAATTCAAATTGGTGTGTATATACCGAAGATTTTTTCCTTAAGAGATCTCCTAGGTATCTGAGATGTTCTCAGAAATGGGAGATTCTTAGTCTAAAGTGAATGAAAATACACTGTGGTATGAAACAAAATTCAATGTAGAAATCTAGGAATTTTTTTTTTTTTAATAAGGGGAATGTCTGTAAGACTGAACAGCAGGCCTGCCTGAGAAGAAAACTGATCAGGGAGCTAAATTTCTTGCTTCTGCAAGAAAACAGTAAGCCTGAATCAGTATCAACAGACTCTATAAAAAATCAAGCTTTGAGAAAATTTAGATTTTAAAATAGGAATTTTGTTTACATTTTGTTACCTGTATCTTTTACACCAGACTGTGGACTTTGTGTCACGTGATAAAAGGAGATTTCCTGGCTCAGGTCTTCAATACTGTTCTCATCTATTATTAAGGATGATGTTAAGCATCTCTACTTGTGCTGAGCAAGGACCAGGCAAAGTCAGGCCCCAGGTTGTTGAATTTAAATAACTTTTGATAAACAAGGCCCTACATACAGTACAAGGAACTATATTCAGTATCCTGTGATAAATCATAATGGAAAAAAATATTTTTAAAAAATATGTGTATGACTGAGTCACTGCTGTATAGCAAAGATCGCACATTGTAAATCAACTATATGTCAATAAATAAAGTTAGGGAAAATTAAAGTTAAGAAAAGTGTCTTGATCAGAGCTCTAGGCAATAACTTGCAAACAAAATATTGATGAGTCAAATTTATTGAACACCTATTCATGTATTAAATATGCTAGGGAAAATATGGTGGCAGAAGTAGAGAAAACACTGGAGTCAAGAGAAAGTATCTCAATGTCATCTTCATGTCTAAAAGATGGTTTTTTTAACGGAGCTTTCAGTCAGGTAAAACACAAAATTGTATATATGTAAGGTGTGCAATATAAATATTTGATAGGTGTATACCTGTAAAAACCATTTTGTTCCCAAAAGACAGGAAATAGAAAATATAGCACAAAGGATGTATAAATTTGAGCATACAATGCTTTGGGATATACCACTAATAAAAACTCCAATGAGGGTCATATCCAATATATACCACATATTTTGGAGGTATATGGTGGTGTGAGGTTTGTGATTTTTAAAGAAATTATGAATGGTATTTTCAGGATGCTCTTATTCAGTAGAGATGGTTTTTGCGGTTCTGAGAGTATGGGTTACCCACTGCTCCCTGAAATCCTTCCACCTCTAGAGTTAATGCAAGACAGCAGGACCTAGAAGGAAAAGCATTTGTTTTCCCAAATGAACGCAGCTGAGGCCCCCACACCCAACTACAATTCCCGTCGTGCTCCGGGCCTCCCACACTGGGGGCCCACCCCCTGCTGCGACCTGAGCGAGCGCATGCGCGCAGCCCTCTCGGCCACCTCACGGGCTGCAGAGATTGGGCGGGGCTCTCAGGCGCTCGTGGGGACGGTGCCGCCCTCCGACCGCTCCCCTAGGCTTCTCTTCGGACCGTTAACCTCGAATGAGGAACGAGCCGGGAGGAAAGGGCGGGGCTGCGGCGGCGGGGGCCCAGCCCGCCGGGCCGGGGGCCGGGGGCGGCGAGGTCACGTAACTGCATCTCTGGCGTCTGGCCAGGGAGGGGGCGCCCTCCCCGGCGGCTCCAGCCCTCCTGCGCGCGCCGTGGCTCGGAAACAGTTACCGGCTCATAAACAACAGCTGCGCGCGCACCCGCATCAGCTGGCGCCGAGATCCCGCACCTGCGACCTCCTCCTACTCAACATCCTCGCTGCTCTCTCCAGCTCAGCCAGGGCCAGCCTGAGGCCACCTCCTCTTCAGTTAGAACCCGAAGGAAGAACAGCGAGGGCTGACCTTGCGCCGGGGCTCTGGTAGGGGAGAGAGCTTCTTCGGCAAAGGGGTGGCTCGTCCTGTCACGCGCAAGAGAAACCGAGTGAGCCAGTCGGGGGCTCGATGGACTGACTAGCAGCGACCTGCCTCGACCCTGAGCTGCAGTCCGCGGCGTCTCGATCAGCTAGCCGCCTCCTCCCGGATCCTAGGCAACCTTTCTGCCAGAAGAGCGGGCGGGCCACCCCCGCAGGCCTCTTGAAGGCAGAAATCCGCTCTGCCCCTGCAGCCTCTTCTGCTCACCCTTCTCTCCTCATTCTCCTCGGGCCGGAGTGTGCGATTATTTTTCCCGTTATGCGTGCGCACCTCTGCCACCAGACCCAAGTGGATTATCGGCCTCAGAAACATCGGGTGGCTCTACACACACCTCCTCCCAGCCAGACCTGTGGGGTATTCACCTGATACACAACAGGTGCCTGGGTATACACCGTTTCGCAATCTGATCCATGCTGTAAATTCGTCTGATAGGGGTGGGCTTGTGCGCACTTTGCTCAGCTAACCGTGGGACATTTACAGATAAAAAAAAGGACTAACTACCTCGGCCGAAACCTTAGGGTCGAGGCGAGAAAGGCTTCGTCACCTGCTTTTCTGACCATGGCCCTGAGCCCACATCCCTGGACCAGAGGAGATAACTAGGTATCTCTTCATTCTGAAGGAACGAAGTTTCACGAGATTGGCATCGTTTTGTCTTTTTTTTTTTTTTTTTAATATTTTTCAACTGTTGGTAGTGCACTTCTTAGGACAGCTTGAATTCTTGAGTAGAAGGATTCTTATATGTAGTGGCTCTTCGTGTGATGTAAATCAAGGTAACTGAAGGTTTTTCGTGTTTTTAGTTATCCTTTCTATTTTTGCAATCAGAAGTAGCTTGCAAAGGAGGAAGGGTTTTGCAGGGGTTTTCTTTTTTCCTTGTCCTTATAAAGGAAGAGAAAAATAAAAATGCATCCTCCAGAAACCACCAGCAAGATGGCTTCAGTTCGGTTCATGGTGACACCAACAAAGATCGATGACATTCCAGGTTTGTCAGACACCAGTCCGGACCTCAGCTCTCGATCCAGTTCCCGAGTAAGATTTAGCTCCCGGGAAAGTGTGCCCGAAACCAGCCGTAGTGAGCCTATGAGTGAGATGTCTGGAGCCACCACTTCCCTGGGAACGGTTGCACTGGATCCAGCCAGTGACCGGACATCTAACCCCCAGGATGTTACTGAGGGTGAGTAGAAACATAGATAACAAAATACTTCCATTACTGACCTGTTTGTCCAGGGAGAAAATATACCGAGAGATCATGTTTCCATTATAGAATCATCATTAGGAACCAAGGAACCTCTTTTTGAGATGTTTACGAAGCCTTTAGGATAATGGTTTGCATAGCGAATCTCTGTAGTAGTAACTTGGTGTGTTTGAAGGTATATGGCAAGAAGGAAAGTGGTTGTGTTTTGACTTCCTCATTTTTGTTTCAGACTTGAAATGGATCTTTTGGTTAAGGATGAGTATCAAAGAATTTAATTATTTTTCAGGAAGGAGAATCCTAAGTGGTAAAATTTAGCGGAGAATTGGCTTTGGGGGTCTAACTATGACAGTTTGCTTTAAAGGTCAGTTACGTGGAGTAGTTATTGATCATATCTTAGTTATTGGCTTTCCTAAAGAGACTTAAGATACTGTATCACAAATTCTTTTTAAAAATTTATATTTTTACAGAGGCAGTTGTTCTAGTAGCTAAGCTCAGTCAGGGTGAGGGTGGGTAGATCTGAGTGGGCTGCCCTGTCCAGTGGAGAATTCTAAAGAGGCTTTTAGGGCCTGATTCCACATGATTTTTTTTTTTTTTTTCATTTTGTACTTTAGGTGGCATGTACTGAGTATTAAGCCTTTGTAGTCAGGAATAGCACATGAGCCACTTTTGACTTGTATTGACCACTGCAGACCTTTAGCTTCCTAAAGCAATTTGTGTCAACAGGCTTGGAGGTTTCCATTGCGTTTAGTGAGGAAGAGGTGATGAAATAAAACAGGTCATAACATTTTTTGGACTAAAGTAGAAAATTTTGAGAAATACCGTACTGCTTTATATACTTAGTTTTATGCTATGTTCGAACATAGATCTGTCTGGTAATGAAAATTCTCTTAAGAATTTTAAAAGCTCTTAAAGTGATATTCTACCCACATTTGAAAACCATCTTCAGCCACTGACTTGCTATTTTCCGGTGTCAGGAAATATTGTTCCTTCTAACCTACAGGGTGCAGGAAACCAAAATGATTTTAGTTCCTTATTTCTGTTTAGTGTGTTTTAATGTAAAGAGACAAGGTAGATTTGCTAGTTTATAGTCCTTGACTATTTTTTTTTTTTTTTTATGAAGACCTTACAGGTCAATTCCTGGACTTAACAATTTTCACCTTCATGACAGAGTTTATGTTATGTACCATGGTATTAAAATTACATTATGGAATTAAAATAATTTATCATCTTCTCTTCTTCCACATTCTAAATTATAGAATGTGGAAAAATTTTAGTTTATACCCTTTATACTGTATTTAGGTTGTAAAAATACCAGGTTTGTTTTTTAATGTTGTATTTGTCATTTGTTGTTCTTTAGTCTCGAAGTCCTGTCTGACTTTTTTTTTTTTTCGTCTGACTCTTTTGTGACCCCACGGCCTGTAGCCCACTAGGCTCCTCGGTCCGTGGGATTTCCCAGGCAAGAATACTGGAGTGGATGGCCATTTCCTTCTCCAGGGGATCTTCCCGACCCAGGGATCAAACCCAAGTCTACTATTTGGCAGGCGGCTTCTTTATTGCTGAGCCACCTGGAAAGCCTGTAATTGTTATTAGGTAACACAGGTTCTATTCCTGGGTCCGGAAGGTCCTCTGGAGTAGGAAATGGCAACCTACTCTAGTATTCTTGCCTGGGAAATCCCCTGGACAGAGGAGCCTGACAGGCTTCAGGTCATGGGGTTGCAAAAGAGTTGGACATGACTGAGCACACATACACAATTCATAGTTAAGTGTTGATAGGTTTGCAAGTTATGTATTATAGAATTGTATTTTTGTTGTTTCTAAAAGTAGACATATCAGTAATGTATTAACCTTGCAGAAACAGGATACTTGTCTGGGCTGCTCTTCTTATCTATAAGCTGTTCTTTAAGGTCTACAGTGGTATCACTTTACACCATAAGAGTAAAACCATACGGGTAAACCTGCGGACTTATCTAGGTGAAATCTATCTTGTTTAGGTGGGTACTAAAGTTACAGCTTGGTCCTCTAACATATTCCTTAATATTTAGTTTCTGGTACTAGATGAAAGGGAAATTAACAGTCCGGCCATTAGATCACACTTTTTCCTAGAGTATTCTTGGGAAATGAGTTTCCTACTTTCCCAGTGACCTATTTTTTTCTTACTATCTTAAAAAAAATTCTTATGATGGCAATCATCCTGTGATATATTTCCCACACCATTGGAGAGAACTGGTTAGAAACATACTTATTTTACCTTTGGTCTTGTAATATGCAGATGCCATTATTAGACTTAGATGTTGTGGCTCAGCTGGTAAGGAATCCACCTGCAATGCGGGAGACCTGGGTTTGATCCCTGGGTTAGGAAGATCCCCTGGAGAAGGGAAAAGCTACCCACTCTAGTATTCTGGCCTGGAGATTTCCATGGTCTGTATAGTCCATGGGTGGCAAAGAGTTGACTGAGTGACTTTCACTTTCAAACTTCAAAGAATGCTGTTGTCAAGAAAATCAAGGACATGTGTTAATCTGTATTTGTCTCTGGGCTGGATTTAATAAAGGAAAACAACTACTTCCTTGACTCTGTCCATATGCTCATAAGATATTTCAGAACTGTTTCTTGTTTTACCACTTAGAATTGTATTATTATTATTATTTTGGTCTTTTTTATATCCTTCAGTGATTGCAACATTGGTATGATTCTCTCTTTTCTCCACAATTCCCTTGCCTTCCACATTTCTTCCCACCTTCCGTTTATTATCTTGTCATATACCTTTATCAACGTTACATTACACAACCAAGGAGGGGTGACACACGAAGTTTTAAATATTTCTATCTGTATTTTAATTTTTTTCTACTGTTGGCCTGTTGAGTAGTAATTATCTTTCTGCTGTCAAAGTATTTATAGTTCTCTTTCATTTTGTCACTGTCCCATTAGAATTTCTGGGACTGTCAGGCTGGTAAATAAAATCAACAATCTTAGCACTATACTTGCTTGTGCCTGAAGAATGCTTTAAATGTACAGAAGGAACTTTTGAGAGTGGACATCTCCAGAGAGTTATGAAAACAGTGGAGAGAAGGAATTTCCCTTTAAACAATTCAGTAAGGCATATACAATTTTTTATATTGAGAGTGTATCACTTTTATTCTTTATATGAGAAATTCTACCTTTAAAAAAATCATTTCTTTTTTTCTTTTGGGTTGTGCTGGTTCTTTTTTTTAAGTTCTACCATTTTATTGCTACCAACCCATCTCCCTCCACCCTCGTGCACACATGCTCAGTCATGTAACCCCATGGACTGCAGCCCGCCAGGCTCCTCTGTCCATGGACTTTCCCAGGCAAAAATACTGGAGTGGGTTGCCAGTTCCTTCTCCGTCTGCTGGTTCTTCGAAATGCTCTCAGGGCTTTCTGTGCCGGGAGTGGGGCCTCCTCTTCATTGTGCTGTATGGACTTCTCGCGGCGGTGACTTCTCTCATTGCAGAGCACAGGCTCTCGTCCTGAGGGCTTCAGTAGTTGTGGCACGTGGGCTTTAGTTGCCTGTGGCATGTGGAATCTTCTTGGACCAAGGATCAAACGCATGTCCCCTGCATTAGCAGGCAGATTGTTATCCACTGTACCACTAGGGAAATCTGAGAGTGTATCACTTCTAGTTTAAAAAAAAATTTAGTAGCTATAGCATATTAGTTAGGGAACTTTCAGATGATCAAGAATCAAATTCTCGCCAAACCCCATTTTAATAAATGAGGAAACTAAGGGTTACAGAGATGGTTATTTGTAGATTCTGAGTGGCAGAGCCGAGAGTGAAGTGCATGCCTCCTGACCTCTCTGTTCAGGGCTTTCCATTTGCCTCTGCCACAATGAACATTTTTTACATTGGTCTCTTAACTATTTGGTTAACTTAAAATGATTGCTAAAATAATAATGCCAAGATAGAGAAGAGAACATATCTTTATATGTCTTATACAGGCTGTAATAACATTTCAACCTTTTCTAATTCAACAAATGCTCCTGGGGGCTCTGATATGTATGAGGCACTCCAGTAGAAATTATAGGTCAACCCCATTTTACTAAATACTCAGGTAAAATATAGGTTCCGCCTTTGGAGAGGTCATAGAAATAGTGGTGAAAATGACAAGAATGCTTGCACCAACTTTTACTGAGCAATTAATATGGGTTAGGCCTGTTCTTGGAGAAAGAAATGGCAACCCACTCCAGTGTTCTTGCCTGGAGAATCCCAGGGATGGGGGAGCCTGGTGGGCTGCCGTCTATGGGGTCGCACAGAGTCGGACACGACTGAAGCGACTTAGCAGCAGCAGCAGCAGCATGCCTGTTCTGGGTGTGAAGGATGCAGGACTGAGAAAAAGAATCCCATTACTGTTCTAAAGAAAGTTATGATAATTTACATGTTTCAATGCCATTCTCCCATATCATCCCGCCCTTGCCCTCTCCCACAGAGTCCAGATGACCCAGAGGGATGGGATGGGGAGGTAGGTGGGAGGGGGTTCAGGTTGGGGAACACATGTACACCCATGGAGGATTCAAGTCAGTGTATGGCAAAAGCAATATAATATTGTAAAGTAAAATAATAAATTTTTTAAAAAGTTATGATCTAATAGAGAAAGCAAACAAAATTTTGTATAAATTAAAATGCTGTATGATAAATGTAGGAAGAGAAGTGTACATCAAAATACAAAAAAGAAAAGTAAATTTTAGAATAATACAGTAGAAAAATACAGTAAAGGAAAATGATGAACTGAGGGAAAGATGAACTGAGACCCTGAGAGACTGGAGGACTTGACAGGTAAAATGGTAGTGAAAGATATAGAAGGGTTAAAGACTGTGATCAGATGTTTGAATGTTGGGGTCAATGTATTCAGAGGTGGAGCAGTCCCAGTGTTAACGTGATCCTAGTGTACAGCCTTGGGAGTGGGTTTCTGAGGTGGAGTAAAAATAAAAGCCAGTTGAGTCAAGAAGCTCCAAGTGTACTTTG